TGAACAATAACAATAAAGCTCGAATTAATCATGAATCGAACTTGAACAAGATAATAATAAACAAACTCAAACATGAGCACTCACATACTCGTCTCAATTCGGTTCATTTGCAGCCCTACAAACAAACATGCATTGCAGTAAAAACTAATATAAAATAAAACATAATTTGCATTATTTGAGAAGCATAACCTGCCCTTCAATGTTCATGACTATTTAGGATTTTTCTTAGATGTTGGTTCCATTTCTAAATAAATAATTGCTTACACATCTTTCATAAGACCAGACAACATGATTTTTAGACGATTAAGTTGTTTAGGTAGCTTTCTATTTTTGGATATATGTTTAGGTAGCTTTCTATTTTTGGATATATGTTTAAATTGTACTTCTTTAGATAGGTTTGAGTTAATATGATGTAGTGCTCAATTTAGATCTTGATTCTGAGGCATATTTCAAATCATAAGTTCTCACACTTCGGGAATATAATCCTACCTTTTCAAAAAAAATTTAACTTGAACAATAAATTATCTCTCTTAAATTGTAAAGCCCAATATAGGATGGACTTGGGTTGCTTCTGAGCCTCTCAAAGTATAGCACTTACAACTTTACCTCATTATTTGCATTGATAAATTTATTTTTTGTTATTTGTGCAAGAAAAAAAATAACTAAATTATTTTTATCATTCAACTTTAGTAATATAAGCAACTTGCATTTTATGCATGTGTAATAAAACTAGTAAAGTATAATATGTCATTAGGTCTATTTGAAAGGAGCCTGACCAATTAGCTCTCCCATAATCCCATTACTTAGTTGATTTGTGCATGACTAGCCATATGGGAGAGAAGGATTTTTTTTTTTTAATAATTTCATTATATTAAAATTTTAAAAACAACCTAAATTTTAATTTTAGAATAATGAGCAATTTTTTATTTAAAATTGTTATCCATAAAATTAAATATTATTTAATAACTAAAATTTTAATTATTATTTTAGCATAATATTTTAAAATAAGAGATCGAATAAAAGAAAGAAATTTTGTAAAAATTAATTATAAATATCTTGTAAAAAAATCTTATAAATGTTATAAAAAATTCAAGAAAAAGGATATTACTTATATAATGATGATAGATGTTGAGTCTTGGAATATTCGTGGCTGTTGAGAAATATAAATTTTAGCGTTCTAGTTTTGTACAAAGATCTAGCATACAAACAAATAAATAATAAAGGTTTAGTAATCACAAGGGACACGAGAGTTTTTACGTGTAAGCCCTTAAAAGGGGGAAAACTATAGGGCCTTATCCAATTTAAATGAATCCACTAGTGTTTGTAGTGGATTACAAATAAAGCCCTTCTTTGGGGGGAAAACCTTTGGCTTGATGTAGCAAATATACATCATATGGGAGTTGGAAGAATCAATGTTGACAAGTTATTTTGGTCGGCAAGATCATAGTCAACGAGCGATGTAGGTTTGGAGGATTGTAGTCATTCGACAGTGGTTGGAAGAACCGTAGTCAGACGATAGAGATCAAAAAGATCATAGTCAGGTGACGTTGGTTGGAAGGATCGTAGTTGGTGGGAAATAGAAGTCGGAAAGACAGTATGTTGACGATGGTCGAAAAGACCATAGTCGGATGACGGTTGTCAGTAGGATCATAGTATGCATGCGGGTGATGAAGGTCAGGAAGACCGAGTTGGGTGACGATGTTTAAAAGGACCATAATTGGTGGGCAACGGAGGTCAGAAATACCACATTCGGGTGATGGTTGTTAGAAGGGTTGTATTTGGTGGGCAACATAGGATGGAAATATCGTAGCATGTGAAGGTGGTCGGAATGACCATAGTTCACCGGTGACATAGGTAAAAAAGACAATAGTTTGGAGATGACAGTTGGAAGGATCATAGTCGACGAGCGACGGAGGTCGAAAAGGTTGTAAACGAGTGACAGTCGTTGGAAGGATCGTAATCCACTAACAATGGAGGTTAAAAAGATCATAGTTAGTGATGGTAGTCAGAAGAACCATAATCGGGCGACATAAGTTAGAAAGACAATAGTTAGGTGACGGTGGTTAGAAGAACCTTAGTCGGGTGATGGTGGTCAGAAGAACCATAGTCGAGGGGCAACAAAGGTCGAAAATATCGTAATTGGGTGATGGTGGTTTGAATGATCATAGTGAATAGACAGCGAAGGTTGTAAAGATTGTAGCCAGGTGACGGTGGTCGCAAGGACCATATTCGATACACAATCAATACCAATTAATACACATTAAAGTTATCTTGATAGTGTATTAAAGAAATTGTATCTTACAAGTTTAATTCTTAATGCACATTCGATACATAGTCGGCTCACAATCAATAACCAATTAATAAGTAATCAATAGCAGCTAATACACGGTTAATACAAAGCCAATATGCAGTTTATACAATTAAAAAAAAAAAGAAACACAAAAAAGATAAAAAATAACTAATATACAATGCATGAAATCTGTGTAACCTAATTTTTAAAAAATAAAATACAAAGTTGATACACTCTCGATATACACTCAATTCCTAATCAATACACGCTGTACAATTTCATATGTTTAAAATTTTACATGAAGGTTTACATTTGTCTACTTGCATTGTCGCGAATGTCCTAACTTGTACGCCAAACTGACTGCCTTTTGCACTTTTTTTAATAGCGCGACAAAAGAGCTTTTGTTTGTTAAACAAGGTGGGTCATGACATCATAAAAAATGCGACAAGCAAATACCCTAAAACCTAAAAATCATAAACATAAACTCTAAAATCTATTTTGAGAGAAACTCCAAAAAAGTATCTCTTTGAAGATGAATTGAACGAGAATAATAGACTAAACTCGATGGAACTTAACGAGTTAGCAGAGCCTCTGAATGCCAAAGATGAAAATTGAAAAGTGGATGGTGAACCAACTCCAATGCTAAAGATGAAAAGTAAACCAACTTCACAACTTTTGATCGGTCGCAAATTCAAAATTTTAACCTCTAAACCGGGTCGAATTGGTGGGCTCGTAAGAGAAAAATATAATAATAAGTGATATATGTCACAAAAAATCGCCTTGATCATGCACGAATCTCGAGGCATATTCAAGTTGGAAACTTTCAAAATTAAATTTGGGATAATCTGAATTCCAATTTCAGCAAACTTATAATCAAACTGAACATCTCAAAGAAACTGAACACTCGGCCGTCAGACTTCTACACGGCCACCGACCACCACCAAACTTCAGCCCGCCGCCGATCGCCGCTGGACCTTAGCCCAACTTTTATCGGATCATTCCTTGCAGCTGAACTTCCGCATAGGCGCTGTCAGACTTCCGCCCGACCATCACTAGACTTTTGTCTAACTCTCCAAACTACTATAATTTGACCGCCTCTAAATCTAGGGACGGATCAACCCTTGTAATTTACTCAAGTTTTGTGGAATATTTTCACCTGGGCGAGGCCATGTGATTTTTTCTTCTTCGGGTTTTCTATATAAAAAAGATAAGATGTTTTACTTCTTTTTTTATGTTTGTGTGTTTGATGTTCGTCCATCGTTTAGACGAAAAATTTACTGACTCAACCGCCATGAGTCTTCTAGCCTGCAACAATAAGAAATTTATTTTAAAAATCACCCATGAACTAGATCGGTGGGCTGACAAGAGCAAAATACGATATGAAATCTATCTATGACAAAACTCTCCTTGGCCTATTGGTTGAGAGCTTTGGCTTCCAACTAAGAGGTTCAGGGTTCGAGTCTATGTGTATGCATTGAGTGTGTGTGTTTGCCTTAAATGGCCTAAATGTCCCAAAAAAAAAAAAAATCTATCTGTGTAATTCATGTATTTAAACCACATGTCATGATTTCATTGTAATCTGAATGGAGAGCTACATCCGCACTCTGTACCTAATAATTTCTGATTTCTCCCAATCATCACAGCAGAAATAATATGAAAAGCGGTGAATTACTCCCGCCGACTAATTGGCTACAAGACCGCCAAATTATATTCAACGACACGACACAACTCTCCTTGGCCTATTGGTTGAGAGCTTAGGCTCCCAACTAAGAGGTCCAGGGTTCGAGTCTATGTGTATGTGTTGTGTGTGTGAGTTTGCCGTAACGGCCTAAATGTCTCAAAAAAAAAAAAATATTCAACGACACCTGTCACGAAGCCCTCAGGAAACTGTTTGTCGCCTGCGACGGGCAAAGACATGAGACCGTTTCAATTTGGTCTTTACCCCTGTCCAAGAAAACGAATTATTCGCTATATAAAAGTTTATATTCGTAACATTGAATTTGAAAGACATAATTTATTTTTAAAAAAAGTCATAATTTTCATATGTTGCGTCTGTCCTTTACACAACTCGTTGGAAATCGGTTTCAATATTGCAGGCGGAATTAGAATTTTATTGCATACGACTTAATTGGTCTTAGTCAAATTCTAACAGAAAAATAAATTTTTATTGATATAATATTTACTAAAACTTTATATCAATTATATGGTATTTTTGTTATTTATTTTTAAAAATATAATATAGTGAGATATATTAAAAATTATTAATAAGAGTCTCATTGAAGTAAATTAAATGAATTAAGAAACAGAATGGAATACTTTTGCAAAATTTTTATTTGAATAAATCTCAAAATTTTTAAATTAAAAAAAATCATAAAATAATTAAAGTATAAAATACATTTAATAAATTTTGAATTAATGAATATCAAATTTTAATTAGAATAGCGTGGCGATGTTTTTAATAATTTGCACAGCTTCTATAACTGGAAATGCTTCCTTTCTAGAAATGCAACGTCAGAGTTAGCGAGCCTACCCGAGAGAAAAAGGACGATACATTTCTGTAATTAAGTTGTATATGAAGGGCGGATTCCGTCAACAACTTTCTAATGCGCCCACTGGTCTCATTTTAATTAAAATACCCTTCAGTGTTACTACCCACGGACTTCCTCTTATTTACCGTTTCCGCCATCGCCTCAAGCCCTAATTCGTTCATAAATAGCAGGCCAGAGGCAAGCTAGGTTTGCAAAATTGGAGTGCCGCACACCTCTCTTCTTTACGAATAAGAACCCGGCGTCTAGGATTCTTCTCTCTCGGAACATCTACTTACAAAATGTCCGCATCATCTAAATCCAGATCAAGCGCGCCGGTGCTTCCGATGACAAGCGGCTTCCAGCAATCGATGTCTCTCTCTGATCGTTTCTATACGCCGGCTTTCTCTTTGCCGGAAATGTCCTCCTCCTCTTCGTCCTTATCTGCCCAATCGTCCAACTTCTATCCCCGCTCCACTTCCCCCACTCGCGTAAGCCTCATCGGATCGTCACAACCGTCCCCCTCCGTCCGCTTCGCCATTGACCGACCAACTTCACCTGGCCGTTCAATGTCAGCCATCACGAGCCGTGATCCTATTGTTCGCCCTCCTATATCTTCCTCAGTCCGACGCAAGACCTGCATGTGCTCGCCGACCACTCACCCGGGATCCTTCCGCTGCAGCCTCCATAAGGGTCTCAGTAATCAACAAACTGCGGCATCAGTATCGTCGCCGTCCAATCGGCTCAATGCCCGTCGATCGGCGATGACAAACTCGCTTGTTCGGATCGGGACAGTTGAGGGCGAGTTGGTCAGAAGGGCCCTCACTGCGCTAATCCGCCCTTCATCGCATCATCAACGACGGAGAGCAGACTTCCAGCCCAGGCAAAGTCGGCTTTCCAAGATGTCCAAGGCCGACGATCTATGATCGTCGAAGGAAAGGGTTGAAGTTCTCGAAGCAGGTTTGTTGTTATGATACCCAAAATACACAAACCCTTCATCTCCACCCTTCACTGCCGGCGGCGTATCTTCTGATCGGAGTCTTCGATTTTGTTTCCTTTACCGATTTCTTTTATTGTAATGAGAAATCCAGAGGAGGTAAGCAGCAGTAAGGCGGAAATGATCAAATCCGTCATATATTGCACATAATGCTCTATCCTAGTCAGCGATGGCTAGGAAATCAGATTTGCAGAAATGAGAACTGGACACAGTGGACGCCATCTAATTAAATTGGTAAATCTGATAGAAATTAACATTGTTGCCAAGATCATGAAAATTGAATCCGTCAAATCAAACTACGCTTAATCCGCATTCAAACTTTCTAGGAAAAAGAATGGACACAATAACTTGACTGATTAATTAACATTGATAAATTAATTCCTGATTGATCCGATCTAAAATTTTCGGTAAATGATTCAACGGTCTGACTAAGCCTCGTTCTCTCTCCATTGCAGCCGTGATACGAGTCTGCAGAATCGCAATAAGATTTATTCGTCGACGTTTCCTCCGGCGTCGGTTTCGTCGTCGTCGCTCAATTCGAGTCCGTAGTAGTTACGTTCCGGTCATCTTCCCCGACGAGGTAGGGGAAGGTTATTATTATTTTTCTTATTTTGCTTTTATTTTTTTTTATTAATTGATTGATCTGACTTAAGAGTTTTTTATTGAACAGGTGTATGCAGCTTTGGTAAGTTCTTGCTGATTGGGAACTCGCGTCAACAAACTAATTCGTATTTTCTTAAATTGATGGTTAAATTAACTATGCCTTTATTAACAAAAAAATCGGATTCCTCTGTTTCTTCAGATCCGAGAGAACAGAGGCGTGAAAGCCGTTGAACTTTTGGATCCCTAAAAAAATACGTTTCAGACGATAATTTTTTTAAAAATATTATTTTACATATTAAGTATTATATAATAAATTTGAAAATATATATGATTTTATTATTATATTGTTATACGGTAATTTTTTTAAAAGTAAAATTAATATGTTGTTTTTTTTTTTATGGAACGAAAACTTAAAACTATTAATTTTTATTTTACTATATTTTTGATGGATTTGCTGGATATAAATTTTTAATGATAACTTTTAAGGAGATTTTTTTTTAATGCATGAATATTTTATTATGTTTGGAATGGAAACTGTTTTAGAAAGGGCAAATGAAGGATTTTTGAATCAAAATTTCTGTTAGTATGTTGATTTTCGAAAATCTTTGTTTAAAAATAAATTCAGAAAAATTTTATTAGGTTTGAGTTGCGTAAACTATCTTAATGTTAGATTAAATAAGCATATTATGCACCCGTAATGTCTTCTATCAGTATTATTAAACGGCATGTGTTTCTGTTTGATTTAATATAAGTAAAATTTCAGACAGATGGCCACATGGTTGTGATTTATCTGAATTTAGCTCTTCTTTGAAAGGGGTATATGTTTTGAGAGATTGTGAAATTGGAAAATTTTGATTTAATATAATTTTATACAAAGTAATTTTTCCATATTAGATTGTTAATTTGTCCAATCATAAATAATGAGCACTGAATAAATAGGGAAAATGAGTACAAAATTTCATCATTTCAAAGAAATTTCTTTTCAATGTAACCAAATAAAAAAAAAAAAACATTTAAAAAAATCTGATGGCTTGGGATGCGGCTAAATGATTAGTAGATATCTTCCTTGTTGTTATGTGGGTGCTCATCATAGAAGAAGGAATGTACTGATTGATTATAGAGATTAGACGAAGTGGATTTTTCACGAATTATCTTTCTTTCTAAATTCTCTCTCTATTTCTTAATTGGGGCCACATTTTTCTCTTCAAAGTTGGTAATTGGATTTCTTATAAAGCAGTTTTTTAAGAGATTCATTGGGGTGCAATCTGTCTCTCCCCTTCTTTTTTTTTTTTGGCATGATTCATTGCTCTGCCAGGGTCTTTATATTTTTCATGAACGGCTTTGAATTTGATATTACTAACACCCCAAGTGATGTTGAAAGCTGCATTTTATAATTGTCTAACATTTTCTTTTTTAACTTAGGCAATGGCCTTAATTTTGAAACTTCTTATCTATAGATTTTATGTATTATGTGTGTTGAATCGAAATAGGGGCTCACCTCTTCCTCCAGTTGTTGAAGCTCTTCGAATCACCCTCTGCCTCCTATCCAACAGGGGAAATTATTGGGTTCGGACACCGCATGTGTTCGGAGCCAAATGAAAATGCGTCACATCATCTACTACTTGGTATTGGGCTCGGTACTGACACTACTAGAAAGTTGAATTTTTCGCACCAGTTATTAGTAGTGGTTTAAGAACCGCTTCTAAAAATGTCTTTTTGCACCGGTTTTAACTGATGCAAATACCTCATTTAACCCCGCTAGCCTCTGCCCAAAGCTCTAATTCGCGCGAACTAAACTCTGCCCAAAGCCCTAATTCGCGCGAACTAAACTCTTTGTGATCGTCTCGTCGATCTTCTCTCCTTCCTGCACGCTGGAGCATTCGAGTTTTCTTCTCCTACCTGCGCGCGACTCAAGCGAACCATTCGAGGGTTCGTATCCAATCCCTCTTCTCCTTCCTGCACGCGACTCAAGCGGATCAGGTAACGGAGTCGAAGAGGATCAAACCGCACATCCCGTTCGCATTTTGCTCGGTATTCTCCTCACGCTACGACCCATCCGGCTGGCTTCATTGTGAGTCTCCTCTACTTCTTCCTCTTCTTCTTCTTCTCATTCTTCTACTTATTTTGTTAATGTAATCCCTAAAATCAAGAAGGATCAACATTCAACAAAATGGATGGTTCACAAATTATGTTAATGGAGGAAGATGAAATCAAAACTGCTTTTTCTCTTTATATTCATTTTTTTAAACCTTTTTCTGGAGACTAAAGTCCTAAGATTGCTCTTGGCGGCCATTTTGGCATTGTTGTTTTGCCTATAATTAATGATGCATTGCCGGACAACATGTTTTTCTCCATCATTTTTTTGCTTGATGATCCATGTGCTGTTTTTGTTATGAATAATTCATTTATTCTTAATTGTGAATAATTATGTTGAGCTAGTTGCTTTACCTTTGCTCCTAGTTCTTGCATAAATCACCATGTTATGGTTAAAGTAAGTTTTATCCTACCATGGGTGGTTTACAAATATAGATATACTAGTGGTTAGTTGTTATGCATGGGTTTATCCTATTGGTGGAATATATTTCCAACTTTTAGATGACACTGATTTATTAATTTAATCTTTGAGATGCTTATGGGGATTTGGAGAGTTATAAGGGGTAATGTTATGATTTGGTTCGATAGAATTTTTTACATTGGATTTTTTTTTTCTGCAAATAAATTACCCTGTTTCCTACAACAATCACATAGAGTGATTCTTTTCTATACTTTAGAGTTTGTACATGCAAGTGTTTACTTTTTATCCATTAATAATTCTGATTTATAGGCTTTCATGTTTCATTCTATAGTTATATGGAAATGATTTAACTGTAAGTGGATGTTGCCATCGGTCTGAGGTAGCAATAGTAATGGAGAGTTTAGGGTTTCGAGCAGTGAGCAGAATTCAGTCATATGTCTTCTTAGTTATCTGATTGGTTATCACAGCCTCCCAAATTAAGTGTTCAAAAATTGGAGAGTAAATCTTCTTTGAAGAAGTTCTAGACATGACTGCATAATTAGAAAGTTGCTGACTTATTACCTTTCCATTAGCAGAACTTTCTATAACTTATGTTTATAAACATATAATCAAATGTATATAATTTTCACTCAATAAATTTTAGATTTCAATTTGCAATATTGTGAATGCTATTTGGATATGTGATTCCTTTTGAGTATAGTATAAGTGTTGATTGACAAGAATATAACCGAGGGTTGCATTCTGATAAATTTTTTTTTAATGTATTTGGTTTTGACTTATTATTGTTGTTATGTGTATTAATTTTTTCCCACCCTACTCATGATTATGAAGGCTAAATGCTATTGATGATGTTGATGATTGCAGAGAAATTAAGGATCCTTGCAAATAAATTTTGTTCTACAGTGTGTAGACGTGCATGTTTCAAAAAAAAAAAAAGTTCTATTGTGGTGATTTTAACCGGTACAAGGCTCTAGATTTGTGCCGGTCAAAACCGCCACGATTATCAAAACATGTTTAGATTGAACGAATTTGCATCGATTTTAACCGGCACAAATCTGGTTATTTGTACCGGTTATAACCGCTGCAAAAGTAAGCGATTCGCAATTGCTACCCCGTCGGTCGTAAAACCGCCATGGAGTGTCGTTGTAGCGCATAATAATTACAGCGTATTCGTAGCGGTTTTAGAATCGCCACAAAGAAAATTGTGGCGGATAGCTCAAAATTTGTGATGCAATTACCTTATTTTTTGTAGTGTGAGCAGTACCAAGCTCGGTATTGCTCAATATTGAGCTTAGTACTGCTCGGTATTTAATACTTCACAGTATTGAGATCAGTACTGTGAGTATCGAATGTAAGCTGTATCAAGTGTTCGAACCCCAATAATCTCCCATCCAAGCGACCCGTTATAACCTCTCTCAATTAAAAAAAATTCTGCTTACAAAAATTGATGCTACCACGAAGATTCCCGTTAGCTATGTTTCCATGACGAAAAAAATTTAAGGAAATATTTAACGTATCTTATAATAGAATTTTTTTTTTGCGACTCCGCCATCGTTTTGGCATTTACCTTTGAGTTTCCAATTTTGGTAAAATTTGTTACCTAATAATTGTCCATAGTTTATCAATAAAAAAAAAAATCATTTGAGTCAACCAGTCTTAAAATTTATTTGGATTATTAATTCTACTAAAATTGACGACTTCAATTTTTATTTTGGAGCAAAGATTATTGGAAACTCTAAAGTCTTGTATGATGTCATTGTACTGAGTATTCTAAATCAACAACTCCTAAGTTCAGATTAGGGTAAGGTTTTGAACCTAATAATTTTTTGTAGTTGCTCTTACTTAAAGCCTTTGCAATACAAATTGAAACATATTAAAATTTTAATCAATAGAATCCTTTTTTGTAGAATTGTACAATTTGCTCACATTTTTTTTTTTTCAAATTGAAATGAGAGAAGTGGAAAGAGAAATACCTGTGCATACTCAAGTTAATCTATTTTAATATTTACATTCTACAAAGCCAAAATCAGCAATAGAAAACCAAACAGCCAACACAATTGTGATTTTACCAAACCCTAAAGAATAATAATAGAACAAATTTAATCATGAAATATAGTACCTGTATACTATCTCCATATGGATGAAATTTTAATTTATCCCATACAACCCAGCATATGCATGTGCTGACCACCCAACAAAACAGTACTAAATCAATGATGGCACATCTTCAAAAGCCCCACATGAGATTCCTTCAGAAAAAACCAATAGATTTTCCTTACAAAGGCATAAACTTCATCAGGAAAGTAAATTTAATAATAACTTACTAATTGTACAGAAGAGGAAGAGCAGATTCAGCTAATCAAAGGTGCAAAATTATATAAAATTAGACTAAGATAAAACCATGAGACAGCACTAAGGACACTGTCGCATTCCCAAAGCATTTAACTAATGATAAACGTATTAAAAAAATGGTAGTATATTAGAGAGCCAAAATATATATAGTGTTTGTTGGCAGAAATAAGAAGCAGAGAGATCCAACGTTCCACTTCTCTCTCTAACTCTTATATCATTCTCATCATCATCATCATCTTCTTCTCCGGCCAACTTGAAGTCGACGCCGGCGATCTCTAAGCACCGGCCGGTAACGAGCATTTTCCCACCTCTGCAAAACATTATGAGTTGTGTCAGATCTTGGATAATGGACGGCCAAAATGAACGCAGAGATTGATAAATATATTATTTTTATAACTCTTTATAGTATAGTATATTCTTGACCCCACAAATTACCAAAAAAAATAATAGGTCTTAATTAGTGGACCACGTGAGAAGCTGAGCAATAAAGCCCAGATGATTTTAAGAAAATAATTCATAAATTCCAAACAAGATGACCTGGTAAAAATGTAAATTTGTAAAATTAGAAGGGGCTATAAAATTAAACGCCAATGTTTTCACGTTTCTCTCTAATTCTTATATCGTACTAAAATATTAAATTTAATAGATCTCAAATGAAAAGAATGGTGTTTTAAGACGGAAAAAAAAAAGAAAAAGAAAAGACTAATAAATACGGTGGGCTCTCCAGGTATGAATGCAAATTTGTCAGAAAACAAGGGCTAAAACGCTTTAAAAAACCCGCCATAATCACAGTGTAAAAGCGGACACGAAAGTGGGCAAAACACGACGAGTCCCATCGCATCGTTCCGCGAGTAAAGTCCCCTTGTACACTCCCGTGATTGAAAAGATTCCTTCAATCACAACCGTCCATTTCACAACGGACAAATCAATCCTAGCCGTTCAATTTTCAGAAAGAAAGATGAGAAGAAGAAGAATTTGCTGGAGAACTTACTGGGTTGCTGGGAGACGACGTAGGCGGCGCCGGCGAAGTCGCAAGATTCGGCAACTCTTCCGTTCTTTTGATAGTAACTATTAAAAGCAAAAGTCGAATGCGCTTCCACCGTGTTTGGATCATAACAGGTCGCTCCCGGCTGAATCCCCCGGCAATCTGCTCCTCCTTCGCCGCAAGCATAGTCAAGCGCCGCCTGTAATCTCTCCCTCCCCACCGCCGCATTCGACACACACCATTTCTCCCCAGCCTTCCCCTCCGGCGAACCACTCCCGTCATTTCCGCCGCTTCCCTTCCCCCTGTCCTCGTTCCATCTCACCCCTCCTTTATTCAACGAAAGATCAATCTCATACACCTTCTCTTCATTCGGGTAAAACAACCCATAATTTCTTTCAGATGTCGGACCTGGTTTCTGATTCTCGTTGAACAGAGCAAACAGATATACATCTATGTCAGCCTTGGGTCGACGCGGCGTTCCGGCATTGCCAGTAAGGACCCGGCGAACGAGATTTCCGTTATATGCCGCCGCATTAGCTGCGCTGGCGCCGGTCTCTTTGGGATCACCCTTCGACGGCCATCCGGTTTCGGATATGACTATTGGGACGTCGTCGTATTTAAGCTGTGACATTGCGGCGTAGACGGCGTCGATTTGGGCGTCCAATAGGCTCAGGTATTTTAGCCCGTTGCCAGCGTCGACGACGCCGGGATTTGGACGGAATAGAGCGTAGTCGAGGGAGATGACGTCGGAATTAGCCTCGTAAGCGAAGAAAGGGTAAGCGTTCACCATTAGAGAGGAGTTTGTTTGGCGGAGGAGATCGAGCATGGGGCGGATGACGGAGTCTGCCAGGTCGGGGCGGAAGGAACCGGCAGAGGAAGGGTAGGAGGACTGGAGGGCGGTGAGGGCGATGGGTGACGAGAGTTTGATGTCGGTGTCAAGGCGGAGGCGGACGAGGGCGGAGTGAAGGTTGCGCATGGCGGGTATCAGATAGGCGGTGAGGTTGCGGGGGTCGACGAAGACTTCATTGCCAACAGCGATGGCGCGAATTGTGGTGGAAGGGTGGAAAGCAGCGACGTTGTGTTGTATCCAAGAGATGGCGAAGGAGAGGCGAGAGGAAGCGGCGGCGAGCTGCTCATTGGGGAGTGTGACCACCGCGTGGATGCCGGTGCCGGCTAGAGCTTTAAGTACGGTTGCGTCGGCGTCGTACAGCTTCACCTGAGTTATTCCCTGAGATTTGAGTAGCTCGACTACTTTTGTCGCCGTGGGGAGGTTGTTCGCCACTCGGCCGTAGTTGACTCCGACGGACCCAGCTTCTGGTAAGAATGGAAAATACGTGGGAAGGAGTATCAGGAGAAAATGTGGTTTTTTTTTTTTAACGAAAGGAGGGAGCTTTAAGAGTGGTTTTTGACTTACCGGCGGTGAGGAAGGAGGCGGCGGAGAGGAGGAGAAGAAGATACGAGAGTAAAAGAGTTCCCATAGCCGTTCTTTTCGCCTCCGTCGACGACAAATGTGGAGATAAAAGTAGCTTTTTTTCCGTGTCTTCGCCTGCGCTACGGGGGAGGCAGTTATGGTGTTGGGGGCCTTTTAAGCTTGAGTTAATGCGTTAGTGGGCTTTTGACGATAGGGTAGTGGACCGGCCCACGAATTTGGACTGCCATATCATATACTACCTTCATAATTAAAATTCAAATTAAGCTCCACACAAATCTTACAACGTCAGCAAAATACTCTTCATATTTACACATGCTCTAAAATGGTTGGTTGTTCGAGTGTTCTATGTTTTGTTCGTTGTATCGTAACCAGCAGTGTCTTGTTGGGTACCGTTTGCGCGCCAAGAGCAATGGGAGTGGGACCCACGCGAGTACTCGACCGTTCGGCGAACGGATCCGCGAGTGGGGGTTGAGAAAAATGAGAGATTAAGCAATGGGGTTAATTGACTAAACGACATAATTAGTCAAAGCAAACAGCTGGCGGAATGTTATTGGGTTTCGGGAGAGGTAGATGAGCTGTAATGGCGACAAATTTTTGACGGATTGCAAACCGTGACGGAGGCATGACGTCGTGATGTATTTATTCGGACCTAACGGTCCGCGGTAATAAGTGCCGTTACTTGTGCCATCTAACGGCTACTTAACGGTAACTTTAGGCTGAAGGCGAACTTGAATGACGGTCGACATGACTATCTGAAGGAACTAGATGAAGTTTTTTTTACATATATTAAAATATAATTTTAGCCGCGTTAATGATATAATTTTGTCTAACATTTTCTATTAAATTAATGATATGAAAACCTACCATTTATTATGCACTTATATTCGTAAATATTAATAGTGTTTTTCGTTGTTTGTCATACCATCATCCATAGAGAGTCCCTTCATGTTTAACTAGCATATTAATTATGATAAGTCTCAACCTTTATGATCATTTATTAGGAAATATTTTATTTTCTTTTAAAAAAGAAAGATTACCCACCATTCATTAGTTTGGTTGGTGGACGAGTACGGTTGAAAACCTCAAACCCATGCTCAATTTCCCTCAAGCGACAGTACCTCTTAACAGGGGCCCAATCAAGTGTAAGCCAGGAGGTTGCTAGGGTGGGTGCTTCTGATAGGTTAGTCGAGGATTAGTCACGCTACCAAACACCCTTTCAATGGTGATAGCGGGTGAATAACCCATTCCAAAAATAAATAAATATTAGTTCTTGCTATTTGATGCATTCAAAATTATAAGATTATTGTGATATCAAGCAAACATGAAGCTGAAAAAAAAAAAAAAATCTACAAACAAGCATCAATAGAGGAAGCTTTAAAGAAATTTTCAAGATTTGGCAATTACATAATCAAGGGAAACCATTTAAGTGGCCATCATAAATAAATTTTAGAATTATTTAAGATCTAAAGCCTGAAAAGAGAAAATCCTCTTAATAGCCATCGTCAAAATGACCATAAACCATGTAAAGCCGAAACAAAAGAATATCTTAATAGTACTCTTCTAAAAGATATAGCATTTTTTGATCCTAGACAGCTTGGTACAAGCAAAAGTTACATGAGTAATCTTTTCAAAGAGTTTCTATGTTTTTTTCAGGTCAAAGGAAACACAACAACAAGAGGAAAATTCTATTAGCAATCATCGTTGTTTCCATCACTACAAAATAGCCTTGCTTGTGCTATAATTCACAATCTCATTTGTAGTTCAAAATCTGCCTCAAAATCTTGTTTGTGCTACAATCTTCTACTTCTTGGCCTAAGCAATAACCTAATCCATTTTAAGTCATATCTACAACTTCTTGGCCAATGCAATATTCTTGATTGAAGCTTGTGGTTACCCCTCAACTTTACAATTTCTTAATTCTCAATAATAAGCAATTAAACTAAATTATAACAAATCCTAGAGATAAAAATTACAAATACTCCATAAAGAATTTAATATATTTCTTTAGAAAACAAACAACAAACATAAAATAACTTATAGATATTATGAGTCATGTAAAGTCAAAATTGTTTTAAAGTCATATCTACAAGATTGCCATCTTCAATATGCATATTAAAAATCTTTTTAATTACAATTAAAAATTTTTTTTATTCAAATTAAGGTTAAGAAGTCGGCATATTTTGAATGGAGATCAAACAAAACCAGTTTTAAATAGTCGATATTTAACCAAAATAGAATTATCAGAAACCTAAGGTAGATGTCTGGCTATAGGTTTAAGAAATAAGAGGGAGGTTGGGGTTGGGCAACAACTCCTTCCGCCTCTGCAAAGAGAATCCCTACAGTAAACATATTTCAAAAGCTTTCACAACTATACAATCATGATGTGACAGACAGGCAAAATAGTAACTTACATCACATAAAATGATAAGTAAATGAAAGAACAATATAAACTTTTGAAGTCAAATATTATTTTAATTCCCTCCCATCCCTTAAGGGCATCTCCAACCGAACCGTTGCAAGTCTCCAGCCGAATATAAAAAAAACAATGTTTAAAATTGTGTATTCGGGTATTGAGACGATTTTCATTCGTGAGGCGAGGCATAAGCCTCAAGGCGTTTTGAGGCGTAAGCCTCAAAATCAAAAGATTGCGTAAACATAAAATGATAAATTTTTTATATACTAATTAGTGAATAATATAAAACATAAAAAAACATAAGATATTAAGTGAAATCAAAATATCCCAATAATAAGACAACATGAAATATAGTTCAACTCAAAATTCTATCTTTCCCAAATCCCATTATTCTTTTCATTAACATATAATTTAAATTTCCAAATATAAATAACAATGACATATCACATAAGAACTCATAAGTCATCAACACTGTCATCACTAAGGGGTTCTTCATTTGAATCATCATTATGATGAACTGCTCTCTCCCCTTCCTCCTCTCCTATAGAGTCCAATGTCGGCATTTACTTCAAGATTTATATAAGTTTTAATATATATAGCGTGAGGCGTAAGCCTCATGCCAGTGAGGCGAGGCAGGCCTCAACCAAGTTGAGGCACAAGCCTCATTAAAAAACTCAAGGCGTAAGCATCGAGGCGTTTTTCATCGAGGCGTTTTTTACTTGAATTGCGCAAAGGCGGGCCTCAAGGCGAGCCTCATATTACGCAATTTAAACCATGGTAAAAAAAAATGTATTTAGAAATTTCTCTTTGTTGCGAGCAATGCAACACCAATATTGGCGGCATACTATTCAAAATACGAAAATGACGTTCGATTTTCCATTCAGTTGGACGGTGAAGGCTACTGCAAACCGGAGAATATCGTTCGGTTGGAGATGGCCTGAAACAAAACACGACCAAAGCAATTACCTTTGCTTGAACTCCATACTTCTATTAAAGTCAAGCAAGCAACCTCTCAAACTAGCTGAACTGTCTCCAGCAACTAAAAACAGTACTATGTTGGATGTGTATCTTTTACAATAAATCAAGTTAGATATAAAATACTGAAAAATATCTGCAAAATAATCTAAATCTAATAGAAATTCTTAAGAACTCTAAGCAGTTATAGCTCAAGTATCATTGCAAGTTCTCATATGAATGCGCAGTACTTAACTAACAAAATTTAAAAATTACGCAAATACTATTATAGCGTGAAAATCCAGAAAAAGAAAGTTAATAAGATTAGGCTATCTAAATGATTCAAACGTGTACAAAGCAAGAAAGAAAGAAAGTAAATGCACTCTTCCAGAAGATGGTAGCTTGAAGCAATTAAGAGACCATAGTAAGGCTGCGCTATAATATAATTTTGAAAGCAAACCTTGATATAACATGTCTATTTATGTTAAGTTTCCCAATAAAAAAAACTCATGAAACACTAAACTGCTATTAGAACAAAAAAGTTGGGATTCATAACGTAACAAGCACTGATTTCTATCTTCAGTTGAGTAGATGTGCAAGTCAGGATGTATGTGGACAAGTGCACGTAGCTTGGTTTGACTAATTATCAGAATAATTGTATCAGCCACAAGCCTCCTTTCTTTAATGTATTTTTTTTAAGCTGTTTGCTTAGATAGTACATTAGTACTTTCTTTCCAAGCTTTTAAATCCGATTTCGATTTTGACTTCATTGTAAAACTTTAGAGTTTCCTTAGATTCATCATATTCAGAATTCAGTTTCGGATGTGATTGCAATAATTTTTTATTAGAGGTTTATAAAATTATAACTATTATAAAAGTTTGTTTAAATTATGAAGGAAAAAAGATTAAGTATTAAAGAAATAAAATATATAAAGATAGATGTGAAAAAAATTAAAAAAATAAATTAACAAATGATTATATTAAAAGAAACAACAAGAACAACGACATCAAGCCTTTATCCCACTGTGGGGTCGGCCACATAAATCTTTTTTCTCCATTATGTCATGGTAAGAGTTAAATTCTCATTTAAACTAATAAAGAAAGGACATTTCTAATATTTTCTAACTAAGTCTTTTTAGGTCTACCTCTACCTTTCTTAACACAAGTCAAATCAAATTGATGTAGGACTACGATGCTTGCAAATGATTTTAATAAGAACTTGCACAAATTCTTGATTAGAGAAATAACAAAAAACTTATTAGCAAATAAAACAACAAATCAAAACGTAAGAGTCACTTTTGTTTAGGCTAAGTTGCACATCCAAAAGATTTGAATCTTCAAAATAGCATAGAAAATAACATTATGCCCAAGTAATAGTTTTCAACAAAATCCCTAATCTAACAACAAGATTAGTAAACAAATGAATGCACTCAAATTCCTGCGTTTACTAAGCTTAGCAGAATCGAGCGAACACGTCCTTCGTGACTACAATCAAATCACAAGAAAAGTGTTAGACTTAAGAATTACGAGAAAAGGAAGAATAGAAAACCTCCGTCAAGGACCGGTGGCAATCTTCCACTCGACGATCTCAAGTTGTTCTTCAATAGCTTCAGCCAAGGTGTCCAAGACGCGCTCTAGATAGTCCTCGACCGTGTGATCGATCCTCGGGTTGACGTCGAAGAAGGTTGAATGGAGAATGTGCACGAAACCGTGTTCGTCGTAAGCAAGTTCGTAATCAGTATCGGGATCAGCCATTCATAAATGCAAGATGATGAAGTCCTCCAAAGAATGCTAGTAGTCTTGAACTCCGTTGACGTGAAAGAAGTTTCTCTAGAAGTGAAGGTGGTAGAAGGAGGCCGGCCAAGGGGAAAG